ATCCATGAATTTCCATCCCAGAGGAACCACATGGAATTGGTGCACCAATAAATGGCACATCTGGTTGACCGGTTTTGGGGGAAAAGAAAACTCCAGGTCAGAGAATGTGCCATAGCAACTGTTTTGGAGTCACTTGCAGAAGACCATTTCAGAGGGCACATTGTGCTGAACGCAAGTCTTACTCTCGGTAGATTATGTTTATATATTGGCGGACATTAGTTTGAACAACCATACAACAGCCCCAGCTCTTGATTTCTTTCTTTCTTCTATTATGACCAATAAGGAGAATCTGCGTCTGAATGCACACACAGGTACGTACATATGCCTTTTTTTTTTTTTTTTTAAAGTGTTTCAGTTTTTTGTACAGTATTGATCGTTAAGGCAAATTCATAGACGTCAACAACTCCCAATGAGCTACGTAGCTCTCTTGACTGTTTGTTGTCTCCAGCAGCTTCTTAACTGGCTAGCTTGTTTCCAGGAGGTTGAGCCAATTACAAAAATCTTCTGCTTTAATAAACTGATACCCTACTGATCACCCCAGAACATTCCTTTTGTGAATGAACAGTCTACAACATCCTCCAATATTATTTTAAATAATAATTAAAATATTGCTCCCGAGAAGCAAGGAGCTAAAATAAAAACATCGATGAGCGTTCAGTACAGAGCTGTTCTTTCATGTAATTATGCCTACTGCTAATAGCTTTCCATTAAAACTATGAACACAAGTTCTGTTAATCTATTATAAACGATTGGTTGGAATATAAAATACCTCTGCAAGCAAATCAGGTCTCATATTGAGCTTGGATAGTCGGATGCCAAATCCGTTTTACCCTCCGTAAAGGACAAGGTAGGCCGCATTACAACAGCTATTGAACTTATCAATTGGACCTCAAGAAAAACTTCCTTGGGGTTCACCTGCGAGGTATTTCTTGGAAAAAATGAGACCGTGTGAGCACCAAATTCAGATGCTGGGCTCTAACAAAGTGCTCAATGCATGGATTTCGCCAGTAACCAGCACTCCCTGCACTGCTGTAACTTGCCTGCAGAGGCGAGCGCCTAGGTCATCAAGCTTGTACATTTCTAACAGAAATCTAGAAATACAGGAAAAATATAAATTCTTAAAGAAATCTCAGCAAAACTAAGAGTGCACACAATACTCTGAATTTTGTTCAGAGAAGCTTTGTTCGTTTATTCCTCTTCTCCAGCAGAGGAAGCCCACAGTTAGTTCATACTAAAAGTCACAGAAAACACACTTTCATTTTTTGAAGTCGTGTTTTATTTAAGCACTGCCCTATGCTGGAACATCTACCAGTAGACCACACAGTGCCAGAGCTATATTCACTGGCACAGTGTAGTTAACTTGCTAGTTTAGTAGCTACCTAGCTTATAGGCTGCAAGGCTAAAGACCGGGTAGATTTAGGGCCGACAATTCTTTAGGTGAATCAGGATTTCTGTGACTCTTTGGGGAGAATTCAGTTAACATTGAGACAGGTGAACACAGGTATGTAAAACTGTAGATGTTTATACGCAAATTAAGCTCCAAACTTCCACTAAAGGCAACGAAGCACAGAAAGTTAAGCATCTCGCCCTACAGCGGACAGCTATTCGGGGCTGCCAAATCCCACCTTTGTGCCACTGTCTGTACCGACTTGAGCTTGATTCAGTTGCTTGCTCATCAATATCTATTGGCCTTTAAGAGGCCCTGAAGTATGAGACTTGCAGCTGCTACTCCAGGAGGGCATGAGTATGCCCCATGTCTTGCATCCATATTGCCAGCCCTAGACAGATGTCCTAGGCACTACAAGATCTCAAATGGCATTTAACACATAAGGAATCGAACTGAGCCCTAAATGTCCACAGATTGGAACAGGAGTGCAGAGGCCCAGCTCATCTGCAGAATACTCCGCTTAAATACCTACATTTAAGGGCCTTAACCTTAAAATAATAATAATAATAATAATAAAGCCTGAAGTTGATAGAAAGGGGCAAAGCAATCAGGTGCTCTTCCTTGAACAGCATCTCAAAACAAAACAAAACTCTACTAGAAATCCTCTAGTTTTTCTTCATATGAAATGTTCTATGTGTGTGTTTACTTAGCACTGGTTTAAGAGCTATTTGACCAGCTAGCAGACAACAGCCAAGGAGACTGCTCTGATTAAGCTGCACATCCCACCCCATGATGCCAACTGTGGGCAATGATCCAAGATTTAAGAGAATCTTCTCTTTATTACTCTCATTTTCTTGCAAGTATATTATTATTCAGCAAATATGATCTTTTTTCTACCAAGACAAACTCGTTTTCTCATTACAACCACAATCTGCATTTTTGTAGTGAAACATGAACAATTCCATTCTCCAAGAAAAATACCCAGAGCACAAACTTGGTCTTTTGCATACCAGACTCAGTGGGACCTCGCTCAGATTATGATCTCTCCAGTTCCTTTCTCTTCTTGCTTACCAGTGGTGTGACCACACACCACTTCACGTGGCAAATACTAATGCAGATAAACACCAGTTTTTAACATTGCAGAAAGAGGAACACAGGACCGTGCAGAAGATTAAAACCACAGGGCTCCTCAGTGTGCGAGCTGCACTTAAACACTGCCATCTTGTGTTGCTAGCATATAATGAGTTTCGTTGAACTTAGAGCCCAACACACTCCAGATGCTTCAGTGAGGATTGTCATATATGGATACAATACTATTCATAACGTGCTTTCCTCTGCCTCGTACCCTCCAGAGGAAGGAGCGGAGCAAGGAGTTTGCTTTGCTTGCATTTGTCAATTGAATTAGCAAGTGCAGGTTTGAAGGAGCCCTGTTAAACCAGCACTTTAACAAGGAGGAGAAACAGCTTCAACTCTGTAATCAACTTCAGCTCTTTAACCCACACTAAATCTGAAATTCCACTCTTTGGTTAATTACAGGCAAGTAATCTGGACCAAATTCATGAAACAACTCAGATTTTTTGCAAACATATTGGGAAAATGAAATTGGAGAGCACATGGAAATATTTGACACTGCTTAGGAAAAGACAGTCTAGAAGACTAGAGCAAGTCACTCTAGGCAGCGGGACACCAGCCAGGCAGCCCTGACTCCATCACAGACTCTGAGCTTTGCACATGAGCTGAGCTTTGTCCCCCTCAGCCCTTCACCCCACAAGCGACTTCTGTGCCTAAATGATTGCCAGGGTCAGGGCAACATATCAGAGCTCCAAGGTGCAAAAGGTATGGGGGGCACCCCGATTTGTCCCATAGATTTGCTGCATGACACAGTACTGGAAGAGGGGAAATGATGGACAGGCTAGGATAAATTCATCAAAGCCTTAGGGGTAAAGAAACTTTGACCTGTGACAAAAAAAAAAAAAAAAAAGTCATTTCCCAGTGCCTTTCGGGGAGGCAGGACTGGTCTAGAAATGGATCCTTAATTTATTCTCACAGTTTCAACAGGGTGGGGGGAGGGGGGAGGAAATGCAGTTGTCCATAGTTCGATACTACCCAGCACAAAAAAAGGCTCAAAAACCAGCTAGCATAGAAGGACATCTGCACTATCTCCCTTTGGCATTAATTTTATGTCCTAAACGAGACACAAATGTCCACAGCAGCTAATTGGGGTTCTTATTCTGAACAGCTCTGAGTGACCTGATCTTCTTCCACAAACAAAAGAGAGGACCCAAGACTCCAGGAGAGCTCTGTGAACAGACAGTGCCAATATCCTCTGTACTTTGCATATTTGGAGACCAGAGTCTTCACAGCCTGGAGTCCTCATCTGATCTAGTGTTACTTACCACACCAGTGAAAATAAACAAAAGCAAAAATCTTTACCAGTACACTTCGCAGGAGACACTCAAGAGAATAACAAGATTCAAGGCCAAGCCAATCATTCCACAAAGGCAACTGAACATGGAGCTTGGCAAATGTGATGTGAATGGGCACTTCTAGGTATTTATTTTTAAATGTTGATTTAAAATTGATGTTTACACCACTGCTTTATTCAGCCTTTATTTGCAGGGAATTATTTGGTAAAAGGCATAAAGCATCTGTTCAGGGGAAAAGATTAACGAAGAAAAGCCAAACAGCAGACATGATAGGTTAAGAGCAAAACAACTTCCTAGCTTTGCACTTCCTATTTCTTAGGCCCACACTAATGTTACAGATTAGACAGACAATTTAGTGAAGCTCATCTGATGAGAAGACCCACAGAGGAGAAGTTCCCCTACTCCACCAGAACAGTAGAGACACTGGCATAAAACCCAGCCTGATCTCCCCATTTCCTTCAGCTCTTGCACCACGATCCCTCCCTGATCTGAGAGCTCCCTGCTGGCATCCAGGCTTCCCGTGAGGCAACAGTCCTGTGCCTCGCCTTGGTATTTGCCCCACGGCCCCTCATGCAAGCTGAAACCTGCAACCTCACCCTGCCCTCCTACCCATCCCAGCAGTTGTCCTCCTCATTCCCATCCGCAAAATGTGACCCAAAATTCCTCTTTGTCCACATCTCGTGTTTTCTTTGCAGCTTGCAAGGACAGGGATGCAAAAGAGTACATGTAACAGTGCATGAACTGATTCGGGAAAGCCACCGACCAAAACAATTTGGGAGCCACTGCTGAAAAACATAGCACACATTCCTGCAGTGTTTTCAGAAGCAGCAGAACCCAATCCAGGATATTTTCAGCACTTCATTTCTAACCACAGTAGAGAAATTTGGGGAAACTTCCACCTCTTGTGACCATTGTGGTTAAGGGATGAGCACACAGTTCAAAGAATCTCACCACTTGTATTAAATGCTGAAGAGAAAGAACATGAGGAGCTTGATAGCATCTACAAAATTTGAAGTCTAGTGTGAGCAAAACAGAAATGCAAGAGCTATTGTTCTTATACATATTTAAGGCGACATTTTAATCCTTTTATAAAAAAGGTTTTCCCAAAACAAAATTCAAACAAATTTTATTTTTTCAGCAAATCTTATGGACACATTCTGCTGGAGAGAAAGAAAAGAAACTTCTAATAAATGCAACATCAGAAGATTTATTTACAAATGTACTGTAATTCAACAACCATTCTCCACTCAATGTGTGGAGGAAAAAGTGATAGTTACATTTCTCAAATGGGAAGAAAAAGGAGAACTCTTCCCCTTCAATGGATTCCACAGAATATTACGCCATCACCACTGAGCAAACAGATTATACTTTGCGTTTAAGTTTCAAAAAGCACTTAATTTTAGAAACCACCATATGAAAAGCAGACACATTTGTGTGCATTTAAGTGCAGCTTCATATTAACCTAGACAATTCACTTTCAGTATATGTCAAAAATAAAGACAGCAATTGCAAATATATATTTATATTAACTATTTCTCTAATGCTCATTTCAAGAGCTCAGAAACAAAATACCCTCTTCATATACCATTGGAAAGTCAGCTAGTTCGATTGTAAGCCTCAAAAATATTTTGAAGTTATTACTGAAAAATATATTTATTCTCCCTTCTGCTTTCGGTACCTAAAGCTGAAAAGTGAAAGCATTTTCCCCAGACATTTCCTTGCTGCATTTACTTTCTCATAAATAAAAATACAGTTATATGAAGGATATAATGCATTGCTATGAAGACTAGACAAGCAAAAGAGTTACTCTTAGAAAAAACACACATACACACAATATATATATTTATAGATCTACATCAGCAGCAATCACCTCTTCTTTTATCTGCAGCAGTGGTTTCATATCTACATTTGCTTCACATGGAGGTTGGTTGTCCAGCTGTTAGAGAGAGACAGAAGTTGTGTTAAACTCTAGTTTTAAACTCTAGAATTAAATTCTAGTTCCTGAAACAGCTTAATGACATAAATTAAAAATTTCAATTCAAAAATTGACAGATAATGGTAATTCCCAATATCTACTGAAAATGCTAGCAGCAAAAAGGTAACACATTCTGCATTTAGCAAGTCAAATTTAATGAAGAATAAAAGTTTGGATTTAATTCAACTATACCACTATAAGTTTTTCAGGCCAAGTAATTTTCCACAGAATATGCACCTTACAAAAAATAACTCCCAAAAACTCCGTATCAGCCTGAAGACTAGGTCACTTTTTTTTTTTCTTTGAATTCACCTTTGAGTTTTAATTAAGATTTGCTAAACAGCTATAACAATAAGAGTGTTTTATTTTCCTCTCTCTCAGCACATATTTGGGAACACCTAACAATGCATTAGCGTTTCACTGTAATAAAGTCACAAGCATAAAACACTAAATGAACAAAAACATGCAAAACCATCACACCATAAAATTACACAGTGAAAATTAATGAACCCACATTTTATCAAACCTTTTAGCCAATATGGTCACGTTCTAAACCAATTAATAATCAATCAGGTTGGTGCTTATTGCTAACTGCAAGCAAAGTAATCTGCACTGCAGACCAGTGCTGTGTTTTCAGTATATATTTTCATTACAATAATCATATAGTTGTTTTTTGGATTATTCAAATCACCACCTTCAGTAACTTCATTATTTTACCTTCAAGTTCCCATCCTCTAACTTATCCTCCTCTACGTTTGGAGGTGCCCACAGACCCAGGAAGATACAGTCCGCAGAGAAGAGAACAGAGCCACTTCTCAAAAATTTACTTTGCTTCAGTGCTGTGGCTTTATAAGCTACAATATTAAAGGCTGACTAAATTGCACTTTATCCATGATGTTTTTGGTTACTGCCAAAGTCCTAATACTGTCTTGCCAGGGAATAAAAAAAAAAATCCAGATCCTTTTCAGTTTCAGATTTATCCATCTCACACAGCAACTACCTGCCTTCCTAGAAGGAAAGATAAGCAAAGCTCAAATAACGTGAGCAGGCTCCAGATTCAATCTCCTATAAATCTAAGTGCTTTAAACAGGAATACTTTGGCCCAGTCACATCATCAACAAGGAGATAAAAAAAATCTCCAAACAGTAATTCAGAGATCTGGACCAGTGTTCTGGGTCACCTCCAGAGGGAAAAGGACAATCTTCTCCCTCATTCTACTAAACACAGCAGCATCCTTGCACCTCTAGTCAGCTTCTGTGGACGCACCACTAGTGTCAAGGAGAGGAGTGGGGTTTTTCACTTGCAGCCCAGGCACCACACAACTCTGAGCTTTCCCTCTTTCTTGAGATCAAAGAGAGCCTGACAGAGGCTGACATCAGATGCAGAACTGCTCTTTGAGCTGGGCCCCCTCAGCCAGCCGATGCCTGAGGTCCTGCTCCTCATCGCAGCCTGAGTAGCCCAGTCCCTTCACTGCCTTCTGGGCCTCCAGGAGCAAAACGTGCCGGGCTTACGCAGAAGCATGAACAACTTTCCTAGCAAGTCATTCAGAAACCCTTTCCCTTAATTGAAGATTATCATTCTGAAGATACATATTTGCTACATAAAACAGAGCCATATTAAACCCCTAGGACATCTTCTAAAAATTAGGCAGTTGTCTAGCACCTTCTACAATAGCACGGAGAGAGAAAGTGGGAAAAAAACACTTATTTTTCAAAGCCTTAACATCATGCTCCAGTACGTCCAAATTCTGTAAATTGAAATAAAGGGGAAAAAAAAATTATACTGCATTTTTCAATTAAGATCTGTAAGTAAATCGATTCCCTGCTGACTTGTACTTAAACGAACAACCAATCACAAAGCTATAATTCAAAAAATAGCATCACAGAGAGAAATAAGCACTTTTACCACCTGCACAGGAGATACTAATAGCTTTCCTGGCATGTGTTAGGACTGAATTAAATACATATTCAGATTAGTTTTATAAATCTAGACCATTTTTCAAAATGACTTCTGTTATCAAGATGAGCCTGCTGAGCAACAACTCCTAGACACCACTTTCCCAGATCTACAAAGAAAGCAGGATGACAGTACTACCTTACCTGTTTGAAGCTGCTTAACAATAAGGTGGTAAAAAGAGCTACCAGCAAGTTAAGAGTGACTTCCAAGTCAAAGAAGAACTGACAACCAAACCTTTCTCAACCTATTCACTAATACACCAACTTAAACATGAAAGCTATTGACTGGCTCAGCTGTAAAAACACTTGAGGTTTTTACATGCGAGCACAAAACACTTGAGCACAAAGAAGAACTAGAATCATGTACACTACTGTCCGATTGCCTTACTTTTAAATCTGATATAGCAGTCATTGCAGAAGAGCTCGTTGTTTCGGATCCTAACTTCAGCTCCAGAGCGGGACCCCCCGAGGTCGCATCCACAGGCGACACACTGCATGATACACAAATAATTAGCAACTCCTTACAAAATACTAAAAAGAGAAAACATTACTCAAAAGCAGCTTGGATTAAAACTCAGCAAAGCTTGAGCCATACACCCACAACCACCAAAAGCAAGTGTGTAACTATTAGTAGACAAAAGGCAATCAGCCCTGAGAAAGTATTTTAAGGCGACGACTGCACAACGAATAGCAGAGATACGTGAACTAAACATAAAGCAGAAGCTATTCAGAGATTAGTTCATTAAACCTCATTTGAGCTTCAGTTTCTCTGAAAACTAGAACTGGCTCAACATGAAAGAATTTGTTCTTTAGACGGCAACAGCGATTTTGGCACAGAGCACCTGGGTGTGCTACTTGCAAGTTCCATGTGGCTCTACGCTGCGAGGCTCCCCAGCAATTTGGCACTCAAAGCAGCAAATACTCATGCACGCTGGTTTTACTGAGTTTTGCACCATTTTAATGCGTTCTTGTCTGGAGAGAGGGGGCCCGTTTCAATTTTTCTTGAATAAACACATGAATAAAGGGCTCGATAATTTTCATGCCAACTTTATAAGTGCAGTGCCTGAACACACCTTTGCTATGGATATGAACCACCTCTGGAAAGACTCCAACTCGAAGCGTAACACTCTCCTTACTGAATTTACAAAGCAAAATGCTTGGCTGTCTGCAGAAGGACAGATAGCTGGCCTGCTTAAATGAGAAATTAATCTTTCGGATGGCAGTTTGTTCAACAGCTCATTAATCTTAAGAAATTTAGAGAAGACAAATTCGCAATTCTCTTAGCTAGGTCAGAACCTACTGATTGATCCCCTTGCACATAATACATGTTCTACGGGAAGGGAGTAAAGAACAACCTCCCCAGCTGACTCGCATCAGGTGGGCAGGAATAGGAAAAGCCTTGAGTCAATTCCTTGCAACTTTCTGGTTGATGCATTGAACTGGACACAGAGGGAAAATGTTCTGAACCAGACACAGAAGAGTCTTTCCTAAACCATAGAGGAAGCAGGGTCCAAGGGTGTCTCCAAATCAGAGTCTAATTCCTCATCTGGTTCTAGAATAGGGGAACTAGCAGTGCTTCTACTTCCTTTTTAGGCAGCCGTAATTCTTTCAGCTCTGTGTATGCTCCAAACTGACTGCAAATCATGTAACCACGTCTCAGCGCTGAGCATGAGCTGATACACCCAGCTTCTAACCAGGGTTGCCTAACCACAGCTTCTGGTTGGGGGCTGGGTTGTATCCTGTGCCGGTCTGAACACCGTCGGCATGCCTTTGCCAGGAAAACACCCGATGAACACGGTCTGCTACCATGAGCTCGGTCTGCTACCATGAGCTCAGCAGCATGGGGCAAAGCAATTCTCCATCCCTTCAGCTAGAAGGGATTGGTCACTTTAGATGATTCAGTCGCCAACTGAATCTTCAAATCTCTCAAACTAGAGATATTTTGAAAGGACCCAATTCTTTAGGAGAGGTGCCTCAGCACCTTCTGATTTTTTGCCATCTATTCAAAGAAGGAAGAACTCTGAGATGCAAGTCATACTTGTTCGCTCTGGCACTTGAGAAGCAGCCCTAGAGTTGAGTGCTAAATGCCTGCAGACAGGACTGCCTCATGGAAATATGCATGTAGCACGCTGTCAGAGTAGAAGGTAAAGCAGTTGATTAGTAGAGCCCCTGTGAGCATAACACTGAGTAGCCATGCGTGCTCCTGATTAGTTCCTGTTCCTTCACGGTGTTACTCTCAGCTCTCACCTTAAAGCAATGTAAATGATAACAAAGACCGAGACACTCAATGATCATGGCTGCTCCTTTGCCCAGAACGTTATTACAGTATGAACAGATTTTCTTCCCACTGACCAACCTAGATACAGAATGAAAATCCTTTAAAATAAGCTTGAAAGGGTTTAAAAGACAAAGAAAAGTTAAAGATTTTTTGAAATTGAAAACAAAAACACACAGAGAGTACCGGTAACAAGTGGACTATTAGGCCGCATGGGGAAAATAAAGTGAAAATGAGCATTCTGTACAGTAGAACTGAAAGCTCGGGAAAGCTATATTGAAGCTCATTTAAATGAAAGTTACGTAGGAACAAATGAGAAAATTCTGTCAAGTTCCTGGGAGATGTTTGGTTGCATAGAAAGCCTTCCACAAATAAACCTAAAAATATAAATTAACCTAAAAATATTGTTAAGTTTGGAGAGTAGAAAGACACAGGTTTTCTTGCTCTTGCCTCACTTATTTTTGGGAAAACATCCTAAAGGCTATATTTTAGCAAGCACCCCTGCCAAGTCCCACCATCTGCACCTTGTTAGATCACAGAAGGCTGGTCCTTGACACGTGTTCAAAGAGTTAACATAATATTGTATGCCATACAGAGATCAGTTTCCATAGATCCATCAGGCTGTTAGCAAATCAGAAAAAGCAAGTGAGAACAAGATGAGCAAGTATGTTTAAAGGGGTCGTGTTCTTTTGCTATAAAGAATGCAGGAGCCTAGCTTCAAAAAAATTGGTCAATTTATCAAAAAGTGTCTGAGAGTATAAGGGAAGTGTTTACAGTGTTATTCCATATAATACATATAATTCTGTGTGTATGACTCTCTCTAGTCTTATCTCAAGGTACTTTTTAAATGTTTCAAGTGCATAAGACAGCAGTTATCTACCCTACCACAACTGAATTCCATTTCTGTTTCAAAATATGTTGCAACTCTTGCTCTTCTTCCTAGATTAAAAACAACATCCTACCCTAATTCTCCAAGGTCATGGGTTATGAGCATTCTTGAGCACTCCTTGAGAAGATATTGACCACATGCCAGAAAGGGTGGGGGGAGGAGAGATGAAGACAGTAAACCGTGGGTTTTTAGGAATCGTTTGTTAAAAGAAACCTCAGAAAAATAAACACCAGAAATGTCATCTGCAGAAGACTTTTACTAATCATAGTGGTAATCAAACAGCTTGGAGACTGGTGATTTGTTATTCCAATTTAAAAAAAAAAAAAAAAAAGTGTAAAGCAGTGATGACAAGCCTGGGGAATTTTCTGAATGGCTGCAAGGAGCAGGGAGGTAATATCAGCTCATACTTCCAACATCCCTTTCAGCCAGAAGCTCAGGGCACTTTTACTTAACTTCTTAATTAAGGTCACAGACGAGAACACTGCTGTAGACCAAGGTATCTATAGAATTCACTCTTCACCACAGCCCGAGGTTTATACGTTTCCAGCAGAAGGGCACTACTGACCTGCTGTGCATTTGTGACCCTGGCTGGGAAGGAGAGATGGGTGACTGAGCCCGGGGGGCAGTTTGGGACAAAGACGGGGCTCTCCCAGAGCTGGCAGAAGGAGGTGCTTTGCTGGAGGAAGGAGCGCGCATGTAGGCTCGGTTTGAAGTGGACACGGGGCGACTGAAATCTTGATTAGATGACAGAGATGAAGGGGAGACGGACTGATTCATCCACGAGTGATGCCTCCATGAGCTTGTTCTTGAAGAATCGAGATTGTCCAAAGACTCACCTCTGTAACGTAGTTACACAAAGAAACGTAAAGGGCAGTGAGGCTGAACCAAAAGAACCATATTACAGTTTTAAAAAAGGAAAACATTATCCTAGCATTTGAAAGATTTTCCGGCATGAATATTCTCGTTTGATCACCCTGGGCAATATTCTTAATACACTGACATAAAGAGTTTCAGCCACAAATTACCCTTTGCGTCCAGTGCTAGTGCTGGGAAAAACCCAAGAGGGGTGAAAGAAAGGTGGCACTCCAAGACTACAAAATAACGGCAAAACACTCTTCACTGTAGGCTTATCAGGGTGAGCTACATCAAAATCTGTTGTATATCAACGGACCTCAGATAGTGGGTTTGTTTTTGTTTTCTCCAAGGGATACCAGTTTGAAAATAACAATCCATCCGCCGCTGGATAGCGACATTGTCTAGAAACAAGGTGTTGGCGCAACAGCCAAACACTCCCACGACTGATAACTCGGCCTGTTTCCTAAGTGACAGGACCAACATTTACATGTTACTTAAAGCAAGACACGAACTCCAGACTTTCCAAAATGATATTTCTATGTAAAAGAAACATCATCTTTAACTGTGATAATCCATCTCCCCAGTGAACTGCCATACTGAAATTCTTAAACGCGCTTGTCAATGACAAGGCACGCTATTGATTTCCATTGCTGGTGTATCAGTCAGGAAACAAGGAGTTGTTATTTACAGGTCACCGAGTAACATCTCCACGCTGTGTACTTGCAAAGATTGAATGTCAGCTATTATACAGGCCACCTTCTTCTGTCTGTATTGCCATTCAGATTATCGCACAGCATTTTACAGGCTGGATTTGGTTCTATCCTTGCAATACAAACTGAAGCTCTAAACTACCAAACAGAAACATCTAACGAGAGACAAAGTTCATTTTTAACATGATTCCTACCTCCTCATACTATTGCTGTACAGATTAATAGGCTCCTTATGTACACTGGAACTGCGCTGCCTAATCCAGCTGCTGTCCGTATGTAGAGATGTTTTCTTTCTCATCTCCTGAAGGATTTGTTGTCTCTCCAACTCTGCTGCAGACAGGCCATGCTCCTTCTGAGACCCCTTCTGTGACTCACTAGTGTTCCAAGACCTTTCCGAATATTTGCTGTGAGCACCTATTTGAACAATAGGCAGAAACTTCACCTAGGCATCTTAAGGCACAAAGCTAGATATTAGCTAGATATTACAGATATCAAGCATCCAGTACCCCGGATATAGTTCCGGAAGCAGTAATTCATCACCATATTCACAAGTTTCTCTAGTTCACTTTTCAGTGGATTTCAAGTGACCAGTATCAAACTTCACAATACATCGTTATTTATTACAAAATGTTTTATCCATACTTCTATTAGTGTGGCCCTTTACATGATGTTTAACTTATCTACAAACAGGTATTTCCCTTCACTTTTAGTGATGGCTTTTTTTAAAAGAGTGTGACACCTTTTAGCTTTGTAAGTTAGATTCTTCCACTCTAACATCATAAATTGAAGCACATTTCAAATATATCATTGCTTCCTCTTTCGGAGTTTTTATTTTCTTTTGCTATAAGTTGTTCTTTTTTCCAAGAATT